CCGTCCTCAAATGCCTCTAGTGCTCCTCTTCTGTTCTGCTATAAATTAAGATATAATCAAAGAATAGCAAGACAAATTACCTGAGATAGGGTTTGAAGACTTTATTCATGAGTGATTGGAAAGTGGCTGGGCATTGGTAAGGCTAAAAGGCATAAATAAGAACTCATAATGCCCCTCATGGTTTTTGAAACCAGTTTGTGACACATCTTCCTTCATTCTGATTTGATGATATCCTGACTTCAGATCTATCTTGGTGAAGATCACTGTCCCACTTAGCTCATCCAACAACTCATCAATCACTGGTATGGAAAACTTGTCTGTCACAGTTTCCTTGTTAACCGACATGTAGTCCACACAAAATCTCCAATTCTACACCAGTAGGATTGGACTAGAGAAGGAAAAAAAACACTGTGTTTGATAATCCCTGCCTCCAGCATCTCTCTTATCAACTTCTCAATCTCATCATTCTGAAAGACGCTGATGGGTATCACACCTTCCCTCAAGGTGATAGCGTGCTCCTGCTCCTTGGGTGGTGACAATCTCTACGGTGGCTGAAAAACTTCTTGGAATTGCTGGATCAATGGATGTACTGAGAGGGGTATGTCCTCTCCTCCAATATGTGCAGCTCTACTAGAAAGCCTTCACCCACCTCTTGTATACTCATCATGGTTTTGAGAGACACCATGGTTTTGGATAGCCCTACATCACCCCTTATCACCACCTTCCTCCCATCCACCCTAAACTCCATTGTGAGTGCTCCCTAGTTGACATTGGTGTCCCCCAAAGTCTGCAACCACTTCATCCCCAGGATAATATCGGTACTGCCTAACTCCAATGGGAGAAAATCCTCCCTCTCCTGAATCCCTTGTATGGTCAACACCAATCCTCTACAAATACTCTTGGCCTTTTTTCACCTGCCCCGTACCCATCATCACCTCATAATAGTCAGTATCTTACCAATTTCACTCCCAGTTGGTCGATGATCTTATTAGAAATGAAATTGTGGGTAGCCCCACTGTCGATCAATACCACTACCTCCATGTCCTCTATTTTCCCCCTCACCTTCATGATATGATTCATAGTGAATCATACCACAGAGTTTAAGGAAACCTCTTCCAAATCCAAATGCAGCTTCTCATCCATTTCTCCCTCTTACTATTCCTCTACTTCACCTCCCTCAATTTCCTTGTCATCATAGATGGTGAGAACCTGAAGAGTTTGGTTCCTACACCTATGCCATGGGGTTTACTTCTCATCACATTTCAAACATAACCCCTTTGCCCTCTTTTCCTGCATCTCTTTCTCTGTTAGTCTTTTGAAATTTTCCCCATTTCTTCCTCTTACTAGCCTCTCCTTAGTGGTCTCACGAAATCCCTTTGCTGCTGAGCCCTTGGGTGCTAAAAGGGTGGTCGTCGTCCTATAAGAGCCTCCTTAGTGATTGATCCTGGCTCCCCTCTCATGATATCTCTGATTTTCCACCAACTGTGCCAACTCCATGGCCTCTCCCAAATCACGACGTCTCAATACCTTCAGAGCAGCTCTAATCTCTGATTTGATCCCTTGCATAAAGTTCCCCTCCAATACAGTCTCTAATAATCGTTCCACCCCACTGGCCAGGTGCTCAAACCGCTCACGGTAGTTAGCCACCGATCCATCCCGCCCCAAAGAAAAAAAATTGCTCATAGAAGTCTCCTCCCTTGTCGGTTTGGAAACGCGTTCTAATAAACAATCCTTGAATTCTCTCCAGCTTTGGATGGGTCTCCTCTAGTCTCTCCACTGGTACCATGACAGCGCTTTCCCCTCCAAACATAAGCATGCTGCTGTCAGTTTCTCTTCCTATGTTAGCACTTTGACGGCGAAGTACCTCTCCATCTTGTAAATCCATCCATGTGTGTCCTCCCCTTCAAAAATGGACATCTTCAGCTTCCTCGCCTTCTGATCCCCCCCATTTCCTCTTATTCCTCCATAGCTTCCTCTTTCCCAAGTTCTTGGCCCTCCCAAAGTCTCTCAGTCCTACCTTGTTCTATCATAACTAAAGCCTCCATCGGGTTCCTCTCTCCTTACTTCAAAATCAGCACCTCGATAGCCATAATATCCCTCCTTACATTCCCAATCAAAATCCCTTTACTCCTGCCGCCCATACCCATACCTTTCCCCATACCTACCTCCTCTATCCTCTCTCTGGAAAGGCTCCAGATGGGGTCTTCTCTTTTCCCCCTTACGATCTCCACCTCATCTTCTTCCCTACGAATTTCAAAATTTGTATTATTTCCTTTTGGCCCTCTCGCCTCGGAAGCTTCCGTTTGCGTTTGGAACTCTAACATCTTCTTCATCATGTACCGCAGGTCAGCTACTTGACCTTCCATGAAGGAAATTATTTCCTCTATCATTGACTTGATTTGGTTCATCTCCCCTTCATGACTTTCCTCGAGCGCATCCACTTTCTTGGCCGCCATTACTCAGATTTTTGTAGATTCAAAAACCTGGATTTGGATCACAAAAATAGCAACTTCCTTTGTCGTTGGCCCCAAAAACAACCACTGAAATTTGCAAGAAACATCCCACTAACGGTCCCAAGACTTGCTTTGATTCCAATTTGATAGGAAATACTTGTAGATCTTAAGTATTCCTATCAAGAGAGACGAAATCAGCGGATGAACTCACAAAATCTGATGGGAAATCACACCAAAAACAGTAATTTTATAGAAGAAATCATGGAACAAAGAGCAACAAGATATAATTGATCCTCGATTTGACATGAGGATCGTTCTCTCCCAATCCTTAGCCCAAACTTAAGGCCCAAGACACCAAGAAGAAAACCTCCACAAGAACAAAATAATCAAAACATAACCCTAACTCTAATTTTCATCATACTTAAGGCATGTCATGGTTTAAAATTGCGCAATATGAGGCTCGCCTTTGCGCAATTCCAGTAAAAAACGCCTCGATGTTTACGCCTCGAGTTTTTTTTATGAGGCTTGCGCCTCAACTTGGTTAAGGCCCGCATTGAGGCCCGCCTCGCCTCACTGTCATGAGGCTTACACCTCACGTTATATATATTAAAACTTACATAAATCTTGAAGTAAATGTCCGACATTGGACTCTATAGGAGAGGAGGAAGGGGAGAGAGTAGTTCACCATAATAATGATTCAATTGAAGAACCCTTAGTGATGACAGTGCTGATGACTTATGAGTTCTTATGTGATATGTCATTGCTATTTATTTTTGGAAATTGGAATTATGTGTTAATGAAAAGAATAGTGCGATTTCAGAAAGATAGAATTTTGACTTGAGCTATATTTCATGTTGTCTTATTATTGAGATATTTTGATTTCACTTCATATCTTATGCTTTTTTCATTAGTATATAAAAAATTTATCATTTTATATTTATGCAATCTTTTGATTTTGAGGCTTACGCCTCAAAACGTCTTGAGGCTTACGCCTCAAAACGTCTTGAGGCTTACGCCTCAAAACGTCTTGAGGCTTACGCCTCAAAACGTCTTGAGGCTTACGCCTCGCCTCACGAATGAAAAACGCCTCAATACCTGAATACGCAATTTTAAACATTGAGGCATGCAATTAAATAATAGAGCCAAAAGATCAAAAAGCCCATGCCGCCCCTTCCTTTGTCTCCAAATATGAATTTGAATATCAAATGGACCTCACCCTTCTCTCTCTCCTTTGCCGCCGCCCCCTTCTTGCTGTAAGCCCAAATCGGCCCCATAGAAGGGGCCTATAGGACCGATCCACTAAGGACCGGTCTAACATTTGGTCACATAAAACAACCGCCTTCCGATGACCCGGTGAGGAAAGTAAATGTTTTAGATTTGGCTTATGTCAAAAAAGATAGGGGGCAACCTAAAAAAAAAATTGTTAGAAAATAATAGAATTGACTTTTCTTCATTAGATTTAAATGAGAATTTTATTTGATGTTCCCTAAACCTTTTAAGACCTAGAAATACAAGATTTTGATTGCCATCTCTCCCACCGCCCCTATTCTTCTTTTCTCTTCATGGATGGTGTTAGCTATGGAGGCTTGCATCTGTAGTCGTGTGTAGTGTTCTAATAATGATGAGTTATCTTGGACATGATGTGCTTATGAACCTAGTGCTACTCACTCTCATAAGTCTATTTCTAGCTGTATTGTATACCCATTTGTTTTTACCGCTAGAAAGATTTATCACCTTAATCTGCTACCATACAAATGTGGAGTGATTTGCATGCGACTGATATTTACTATGTACAGCAATTGATATCTACTATGTCAAGCTATCCTCGCCTTATTCAGCTCTTATTGCTTTGATCCACAGTCTGCATATGATTTTATGTAAATAGGCTAAGTGTGCAGGTGGAATTGTAGAGGGATGTGCTAAATATTCAATTTCTTTTATTAATTGTTTTTTGGAATGATTGGTTACAATGGTACAAACCTATCCGAAGATTTCTTTTCGATCTGAAGGAAATTTGTGCCCATGAAAGCAAGTTCTTTGACTAGTACGCAGCACAACTTTCTTCAAATATTTGATTAATATTTATGAAATAGTGACACTGACAGCTTTTTTATTTTGTTTTAAGATTCCTTAAAGTAAACCCTGAAATATGTTTACAGCAGTCAAGAAACGTTCTTATTTATGCAGAAAGCCTTCTCAATGTTAATCGTAGGTCTGTAACTTTAAATTCTTCCCATATATCTTTGATTTTTAGTAAATCATTTGATTACATGTGTTATGTTTATAATTCTAATTTAGTGTATAAATTTTGTTTTTATCAAAATTCCTTCAACATTTCGTGTTATTCTTTGTTTTTGAAAATGTACAAAACAGGAGGCAAAAAGGATACTTTTGTTATAGTTTTTATGACCTGTTTAATTATCAATAAAACTTCAACTTGCTTTGTAAATGTTGGAATTTTGTGTCCATCTCTTTGTTTGATGTTTCTTACGTTTGCTTTTTTGCAAAAATGTAGACTTACCCATGTATTAAACCTATTTTTTGAAGATATGCCGGGTGCTCCAGAGATGCTTGGTTACCATCCTCGGAATGAAGATAGGACAGCTCTTGGTATCATTAGGGATGCAGGGCCCATAAATTCATCTTATGATCCCTATTTACGGAATGGGGTATTCTCATTGTTTGTCCTGTACTCGGTTGAAATTTTCTTTATAACCTAGAACCTACTGAGATCATTTTGACTCTTTCAGTTGTCTTCTTATGTTGCTGCTGATGCTGGAAGGTCCATTGGTGGAGGAGTAAGTGGCCGTCCAGTTGATGATCCACGTGTGCCAGGTCATGCAGGGATGGATAGCCGGGTAATTGGATACAGTAGTGGGAGGATAGAAGCACCTCTTCCTCCAGAAGCATCAAACACTTTGTTTGTGGAAGGTCTCCCCGCTGACTGTACACGCAGAGAAGTGTCTCGTATCCTTGAATCTTTCTATCACATCATTTGATTATTTCCCATTACTTCATATGCTTGTTACTGTTCGTCATTTATCACTTTTGATGCAGTTCCTTTACTTTTTCCAAAGATATCTTTCGCCCTTTTGTAGGTTTCCAGGAGGTGAGACTTGTGACCAAGGATTCCAGACAAGTGAGTATACATTTTGCTTTGAACAAGTGTCCTATTTTCTGTTTTTTCCCCTTATTTATAAAACCACCTTTCCTTTAGCCTGGACGAGATGCATTTGTGCTGTGCTTCGTTGATTTTACTAGACCTAGCCAGGCTGCAGTAGCATTGGATGCTTTGCGAGGTAAAAATAATTTGCTATGAATTGTTATAATTGTTCTTAAAATTTTATTGTTTTTGCATTCATGATATGCTTCTCTTAATGCTTTTCCTCACTCATACTGACCGTGCAACCAGAAATATTATCATTCATGAAATTTTTTCCCTGACCAGTGCTCATAACTGTGGCAGCACGCTCTATTGTTTGGCATGATGTTATGCTTAATTTATAACCTGTTCAATTTCCTTAGTTTTTTTTCTCCATATATAGTGATACTTTCAATGCAGCTGGATGCTCTTGTTTATATGGTATTACTTATATGATATGTAAAGGCACATAAATGTGCATTTTCAGATGCTAGTTTTCCATTGTATATTCATTAACATAAAGAAATTTTCTATGTTCATCTTCTCTAGATTTAGTAGATTAAGAGATACTTGTGAAATTTTAGCATTATAATTGTTAGTCATGCTATATACTCTTGTTTTGGATTTGGTTGTGAATAAAAACACAAATAAATGCTGTAGTTTCTTATTTGTGTCAGTGATATGATCAACACTTCCCTTAATCACATTAGTTTGTTGCTAGTGCCTCTTATTATCCTCTGACTATCATCTAATTTTATGTTCCATTTCGAAGGATTCATGTAGCCGACCCCTCATAATGGGATGAAGGCTTGATGTTGTATTCCAACATCATTCTATGTGTCGTAAAGCTGTTGCCAAATTTGTCTTATGAGTTTTTGATGCAATCAAGGATTATTATCTTATATTTTGTATTTTACTTTCTTATATTTTGGATGCAATGTAATTTTGGACTATAAATATATATATATATATATATATATATATCAAAAAGTGGTTGTATTGATTGGCTTATATTGGCTAGTTCGGTGGCACATTTATGTGGGCTATTTGGTTGATTTGCTGCTGGATGGTGGTGATTTTTGGTGAAAACGAATCGAAACCTGAGAGTTTTCTTCCTAGCTTGAGATCTATCTTCTTCCTACAACTATTTCTTTTTCTCGGTCTTCTATCTATATCTGCTCTCTATAGTTTCCCTTCAACTTGTATCTTTCTTCTCCAAATATTGTGAGTGTAAGGTGTTTTTGTGTCCCGTTTGTTGATATTTGCCAGAGGAGCCCCGACTTGAGCTGGATCATTAAATCTGTAGCAAACCATTGGTTTGTTTTTTTTTTCTTTTGAGCGCCATTCTTTATTTTCGTGATTTGCATATGAGGTGACATTTCTAGGTTATTTTGAGGGTAGTTATTTTTAAGTTTTAGTTTGTTTCTCTACAAAATTTTTTTAATCATTTTCCTATATACACGGTTTTAAAAATCGGACCGGACTAGCCGGTTCAACTGTGAACCGGCCAGTTGTCTGATCTAGTCCAGTTCAAAAAACCGGCTTCGCAGAGAATTGCCCTAAATCGGACTGAACCGGCGGTTCAACCGGTGAACCAGCGAACCGGTCCAGTTCGAAAGAATCGGCCGGTTTTAAATTTTTTTTTATGTTAAATAAAATATAAAAAATATATTTTAATTTATTACATTTTTTAAAAATAAAATTTTTATTAATTAATGAGATTTTTAATGCTATAATATATGAATGCCATCTCATGAAATAAGTTTTGTTAGAAAAAAAGGAACTATATAAAGAGCTAAAAGCCAACTATCTCATACTCCTTCATGATGTGTGTGGGCTCCGAAAATTCGGCCCCGGCCTCCCCGCCGCGCTGATTGATTATTTGCTTTTGCTTGAGCGAGGGAGTTTTAACGAACTAAGTTCCGGGGTAAATTTTGGAAGGCAGATGGGTTTTTAGATAAGACACTACCCAGAGATTTCGCCCTCATTTTGAGAGGACTTTATGATCTGAGTTCTGGTTTCCTATAAGCGCAAGCCCCTATAGTTAATTACCCTCCCGATCACGAGAGAGAACTTTCGATTAAGGCTAGGCGTCAATCAGATACGTATAGAATACGTGTTATCTGGCATATAGTAGCAGCATGGATATGAAATTTGAGAACTGGATTTGGATTTGTGAATTTGGGAAGTTTGTATATTTGGAAAGATTAATATTTAAAATATAAATTTCACCATCTTTCACTTAAAGTGGATGGTGTGGGAATGGATGATGGGCCCGATTAAGATTCCATGGTTCCGTCGTCCCGGGCCATCGTGGTCCCTGTTCTACTTAGTCAGATGAGGTAGTCGACTCAACCTGACAGAAGGATCCTTGTCGGCAGCCATGGGTTGCTTCGTCCAAGGGGACCTTGTAGACCTGGATTGGATATTTGCCTAAGGGGACAATTTGAATCCACCTTAGCTTGCAGAGAGCTTTGTGCCCTATCAATCATATCCTATTGATTCATATATCAAGAATTTGATGCCAATAAGGAACGTATTGGCTTTGGCCATAACCAATATTTCGTGGTGCCATTTGGCGGCAAAATCACTCGGTTCAGAGGGCCTCGGGTCATAACCGTTTATCCTGCGGTGCCATTTAGCGGCAAAATCGCCGATTAGAGGATACGTACCACGTCCTTACTAGTAGGAGATTGGTTTGGGAATGAATCATAGTGATATTTTCGACTAGGCATTTGGCTCTTTGTGAGCTAAAGTAGTTTTTAATTTATCCATCCCGACAAACTATTGCGGAGTGCGGATGGATTTTACTTTAAGCATTGATGGATTTATTTCAATTTAAATATCTTGGAAATTTTGGGATTTTCTGGAGTTTAGAATTTGCGTGAACTTTTGGGAAGCATTTGAAAATGCCTGAAATTAACCCCTCCGGTTAAGATCAACATTCAACACGGTCATCATCGGGTTGTTTGGGGTCATTTTTCTTTGGTTGATTGAACCCTGTCAACTCGACCAAACTATTGTTCGAGGATCGGGTTTCTCGTAAGCTTTATGCATTTGTTTATGAATTTTCTTTGTTGAAAGCCTTGAAGGCCGAATATGAATGTATAAAATAAATATTCCAGTCAACTTCATGACTGCATATTTATCCGAGAGTTCGAACCCTGTCTACTCCTATTTATCTGCTTAGGAGGATCGGGTTTCATAAGCTTCATGCATTTGTTTAGTGAATTCTTTTGATTGTAGGCTTTGAACGCCTAATATGAATGTATTGAAACAAATACACTGGTCGCCATAACCGTGTATTCGTTTAAAGGTTCAAACCCTGTTGACTTCTATTGATCCGTATAGAAGGATTATGTTCGAGCTAGAATTCACTTATCGACCCGCGCAGCATCCCTAGGCGTCACGTGTGTACCAATAACACGCTCGCCGGGGCCCATGCGTGTGATTTTTATATTTATTTAGACGTACCCCATTGTGTACCTGTGTATACAAACTATGGTGCAGGTGCAGGGGTACTTTGAAATATTTGTAGTTGTGTAGATAACTATCGTTTGGATGCAAACAACTTTTCATTTGAGAGCTTATACACGCCTTATGTTCGCTAATACGAGTGTTATTGATCCGGTGGCATGGTTATCCTCATCTTAACATTGACTCCCCTTTCTCAATCATTGGGGAGGGTATTTTCTGGATTTTGGGGTCAATGACCGCTGATCTGGAAAGAACTCCTTTTAGGATCTTTGGTGTAGAGGACTTGTTATTTCCGGTGTTTGTAGACATCAGAACTGTTTTCTTCCTAAGGATGGGACCAGGAAGAAACTTTGGAACACCAGGAATTTTTGTTCTAATTTGTTCAAACATCTTCTCTCTTCTGCCAGGGGGTGTTCTTTTTCGTACATCGGGTTGTCTTTGTACCTGGTATACTGACAGCACTTTGATCACCACTGTCGTAGGTGATGCTTGTACTTGTGCCCATAGTGGTTCGTTGTACCTACGACATATCCACTGTTGTTATCCACAAGTGTTCATTTGCAAGGCATCATTGTATCCACTACGACCTCCTGAAGGTATTTGTAGAAGACCCATTAACATCAGTACCATATCCACCTTTCACCAATCTCAGGCGGTTTTGCTAATTGTACTTGTTTACAGGGGACGGTCCTTCGTACATCGGGTTATTCTTGTATCCGACGTGCTTGTAGATCTTAATCACCGTTATCGTAGGTGATATCCGTACTTGTGTCCACAGTGGTTCATTGTACTTACAATACACTCTGTTGTTATCCACAAGCAGGTTGTATTTATTTACAAGGACCCGTTGCATCCGTTATGACTTCTTAGAAGTATTCGTAGGAGAGTCATTGCTCTTGCATCTCACCCACCTTTCACCAATCTCAGGTGGGTTGTTGATTGTTCTTGTTTGTAGAGGACAGGTCTTTGATTGCTGGTCTTCAGTATTGCCATCTCAATCAACAGGCATTTATAGGGATTGTCGTAGGAGTTCACTGCATTCTTCTTTCGTGAGCATTAGGAAATCATTTCCCACTTGCAACTTGTTGTTAGCTTGGACGACTGTGCACTTAGACTTTGATTGGTTCGTTCATCCAAAGTCCCAGTCTTATGTATTCAATCGGATCAGAATTCAAAGTTCCACTCATGCTTGAGTCTGCCCTGTTGTCCTTGAAAGTTCAGGCTCCTTATTGTTCATGTCAAACTTGGATTTAGCTTGAGTTTAGAGTATAAGTTCAAGTGATCTTGTTTAATTCATGTCTTCAAATTGAGTTCAAGTCTGAGTTCACTCGAGTTTGAGTTCTATGTTCGGGTCCCCTGATGTTGCACAGTTGGAGTTCCAAGAACAAGTTCAAGTGCTTGTTCAAAGTCTTCTGGAATCTTTGCAAGTGCAATCTTGTATTCAAATGATTTGAATTTAATTCCAATCTGATTTTATTTCATTTGATTTTGACCTTTAAAAATCATTTAGAATTTTGTTCAGATTTAGGTCCACAAGTCCTCTGTTCTTCGTACAAGTCCTCTGCTCATTTAGTTCAATTTCTGTGTATTTTTTGTTTGTGTACAGGTCTTCTATATTATTGCCCAAGAAGGTCTTCAAATTGTTCAAATATTTGTACATTTCAGTGAAAATTTCGGCGG